GCTACTTACTAAATATAGGCATGATTTATCTATATAGCTTACATAATGAATTACTTTTTAATAAATCATATTAAAATAAGAAATATTAGTGCCAGAGGGGCAGAAATTATTTTTAAATTACAATATTATATTAAGTATATTTTAAATGTAGCAATGTCATAACCATAGAAACATAAAATCATTAAATTCAAGAAGTATATGAATAAAATAAAGTATATGAATAAAATTTTTAAAATGCACATTAAATCCTAAGAAATAGGTTTTTCCATGACAAAGAGCATCTTAAGAAATTCATGCAAAAGAAAATAACAGATGGGTGATCAGTAGTAAAACAAATCTTTCCAAGATCTAGAATCCAGACACTGGAAACTTATAACTTGCTAAAGAAAAAAAGATGAGCAGATCACTAGGAATCAGAGAGGAACTGCCAGAAAAAATTAGAGGCTACAGAGTAGTTGGAAAGACATCCACAACACTGAGAAAAGAAGTAAACCATCTGGACTCTCACTTGCTCTCAAGACTGAGGAGAGGGGAAGCAGACTCTCTAGAATCAAGGAGAGCACCCAGAGATGTAAAAATCCAGAGGGAAAAGGCAGCAGAGCTCACAGACTTTGTAAACTGCAAACACCCTGGAACTTGGGGCGCCAAGAGGACTCCTACACAACACAAGTGCAGGTGCTACCACATTACCACAGTACTTAATTAAGGTGTCTTTTGGGAAGGGACTCAGAACAACTAAAAACCAACTTCAGGGGCTACCAGTGTTACCCTCCAATAGAGACTGCTTAGGTGAGAAACAGCCACAAGAGACAGCTGCAGACAGGAAGAGAGATAGGAAGCAAGCGCCTGAAAAGTCTGAATTCAGGCAGAGAAGGACGTGTGCAACATCCCCATGATGAGAAGCTGGTCCCTGGGTGACTTGCATCAGAAACAGCTGGGTCTGAAAGACCCTGTCAGCATTAGGTACTGGAACCCTTGTCCTGCATTCTGCATCTAGCACAGACCTGAGGTGGGACTGCCTTAAGTATCCACCAACGTGAGCAAGGACGCGTGGGGGCCTTGACATTGGCATAGCCAGGGGTTGACAGAGGAGCCTCTGAAATAGGGGCACAAACCATGGGCCACAGTGGTAAACGGAACACGTGGAGACTTGCTGGACTCCAACACTGCAGGTCTTTGAAGGAAACTACTCATTCAAGAATACGAAGGAAAAATTCTTTTTTCGTTGTTTTTGGATTCATTTTCTTCTTTTTTCTTTTTTAATTCTTCTTTCTCATACTCCTTTTTTTCTCTTTTCCTTTTAATTTCTTCTATTTTTTAAATCACCTTCTTTTTCTTTTTTCCCTTTTTTCTTTAAGCTTCTAATTCTCATTGGCTTTATGTTACCTTTATTTAATTTTATAAATATCCTTCCACTCTATAATAGGATACTTTATCTCAGTTTTCTCTCCTGCTCCTCTTCCACTGTTTAATTTTTCAAATTTTTTCTTTTTGCATTCTCTCATTCCTAAAACCTTTTATCTTTCACAGAATAACCACTAGGCTTAATAATCTCTGTAGAGTTAGTTAACTCTGTTACTATTGTTAAACTCTTTTTTTATCATTAGTGGAGGTATAGTTATCACATTTAGTAGATATTTACTGCATGTCAATATTTGGTTTGTCTTAGGCTAGAAAGAGCACTTGTTATGGCTTGAACCTCGATGTTCCTCCAAAGCCTCATGTAGTCAAAGTGAGGATTAAACTCCTCACTGGTTGAATTAGGTGGTTGAATTAGGATGTATGTGATGCTGGGATTAAGGATGCCCCATCCTGGGTGTGGGTGGCACCATCTAAAAAGTGGGTGTGTTGGATAGAATACAATGGAACAGAAAGAAGCTGGTTTTTGCTAACTTCTTCCTGCCTTGCCTGGACTATTTCTTCTCTGCAATGCCCCTCTGCCATGCCACCCTACCTGGGAGTCAGCCAAGTCTGGAATGAAACCTCTACAAATTGTGAGCTAAGTAAACCTTTCCTCCCTTAACTTGTGAGTGTCAGGTATTTTGCCTCAGCAATGAGAAACATAACCAAGACAATACTATAACTGTAGATGTCTAAACTTAAGGGCATTACTGGTTCCTGTGATGTGTCAGTATCCAGTTTGTCTTAGACAATATCACTGTTGCTGAAATACTTGACATTGCCAGGCTTATACAATTGTTGGTATTAATAGATGTTTTCTCTATGTCAATACCCTGGACATTAAAAATACTGCTGGACATTCACAAAGAACTGAGTGGTAGATCAATTACACGACACACAATTCCTTTCCCATATTAACTGAGGTGATCAGATCTCGTGGTAAAGGCAAAGTACAATAGTTAGGCACGCTTTAGGTGGATCACTGACCAACAGACTAACTAAAGAGATCTCTGTACTAGCAGCAAAGTCTTCCCGCAACAGAGAACAGAACTTCAGCACAAAACTAACAAAAACAATAGAAACCTGAGAAGACGAGACAGCAAAATGCCCCCAAAACTCCCACTTCCCTCAAAAATCAACCTATGGGGCATTTAAAGGAGGAAAATAAAAGCCATACAGTCAAGTTATTTGAAAGGAAAATGGAAGATTAAAAATAAAAAGATTTATGAGGAGGGCTCACAGAAAATATAATTATAGATATTCCCTGTTTAATGACTGCTCAGACTTATGACCCATCTGCACTGTTGAGACTTACAACCTGCCAATTGAACCTATGATCTTTCTTTTTTATTAGCCATCTTGTACAATTTGCTTAAAAGCCCTTTTTCATAACATATGCCTTATTTAGACAGTACTGTAATTAATGCTAATTATATTAAACAGTGCTGTAGTTTTATGTCATACATGATAGTGCTCTACATATAAGCACTGTACAAACAAAAGCAAAATCATTAAGTTGGAGTTTTCTTTGACGATTTCTTTGTTCTAAATATTGGTATGTATATGCTACATACAATTACTCATTTAGAGTTCAATTCATTTAGTGACCTAGTTGCAGGAACATAACTATACTCAGAGAATACACATAATACACTAAAAAATCAGGGAAGACAGAAGAGAGGAATAAAAAGCTGGCTGAGCTAAACAAAACAATATAAAACATTAGTGACCAACTTAGCAAATAATAGCCCATGAAAAAGTTGCAAACTGAAATCCAGGAAATTAAAATAATGAAAGTATAGGCAACAGAAGTGACAAATGTAAAAACAGACTATCATAATGGAGTTAATAGATATTTACAGAATGCTCCCCCCAAAAACAGAATATACATTCTTAGAAGTACATGGGTCTTTCTGCAACATAGATCAAATGCTAGTCAATAAAACATTTTTAAGTATAAAAAAAATCAAATTTTGCCATACATATTATTACATGATAGTGCAATGAAACTAGAAATCAGTGGCAAAAGAAACCACAGAAATTATGCAAATACATGGACATTATTATACAGCTTCTAGAATCAAATAATAATGTCAGTATAACATACCAGATCAAATGGCACACAATCAAGGAATCTTAAGAGGGAGTTTAAAATTGTGAATGTCTACATCAGAAAAACAGACTAAGCCCCAAAAAGTAATCTAATGATGTACCTCAAGGTCCTAGAAAGACAATAACAATGTAAATCCAAAGCTACTACAAGGAACGAAATTATAAAGACTATAGGATAAAAATTAATTGAGTTGAGACAAAAAAAAAACACACATGCATGCACACATGCAAAAATCAATGAATATAAGACCTGGGTCTTTAAAAGAATAAACAAGACAGACAAACCCCTAACCAATCTTACTAAGAAAAAAAAAGGGAAAGAAAAGATACAAATTAATGCAACTAGAAAGGAAAAGGACTAAAAAAAAAAAAAGAGGAATCCACCAAAATCAAAAGATTAGTAGTGACTACTTTTTTAATGAAGAATTCAGAAGAAATGGATATAAATGAACTCTGAAAAATAAAATGAGTAAAACTCTTAAAGATAAAAGTATAGAGAAAGACTTTCTGAACAGAAGCTTGATTGTATAAGAAATAATGGCAAAAATCAACAAATAGGATCACACCAAAAAAGAGACAACCTACAGGAAGGAAAAAAAATTTTTTTACTGGCTATTCTTTGGGCAAAGGACTAACGTCAGTACATATAAAGAACTTGAAAAAAAAATTACATCCCAAAATGAAAAATGGACAACTGAAATGAACAGATACTTCTCAGAAAAAAAAGTACAAATTGCTGGCCATTAAGGAAAAACAAATAAAACAACACTGAGATTCCACCTTACTCCAGAAAGAATGGTCATCAAGAAGTAAAATAATAACAATTTGGTTCACAAACAAAAGCATTTGGCAAAATTTTGTTTTTGTTTGCAAACTTTACATAGTGACAAAACAGCTGTGGCCACCTTTTCTACACCAACACAAATGTGGCCATCTTTTCCAAAATCATGGAAAAAATTAAGTTTATGAACCAAGGGAGCACTGTATTTACACACAATGGACCACTAAAGAATGATAAACTTCAGTCATTTGTGGAAAAATAGATTCACCTTGAGATCACAATGTAAAGTGAAATAAATCAAACACAGCAGCTCAAATTTCACATGGTTTCTCTTATACAAAAACTCAAACCATAAATAATAAGCAAAATAAAAGATATAACATAAAGTTGGCTGATACAACTTTTTCAAATGGATGGGGGAAACAGAAGATAGAAGGAGGAGAAGGGATGAAAAAAGAATTCAGATGTATCATGTACATGTACCAACTCTGTACAAATAATGTCATCATTATATACTATAAACAGGTACTAATAAAAAAATTAGGGGAAAACCAAGAGAAATCCAGCTAAAATTACGTCATTTTGAAATTTCACAGAATAACTTACAGAGTTAAAGTACCTATAAATCACAAGAGACAAAAAAAAAAAAAAAAAAAAAAATATATATATATATATATATATATATATATATATATGATAGCAGAGGCATATTGAGCAGCACTTGAGAGAAAACAGTTTTATTTGGCACACTCAGAAGTGATTGTCTCTTATACATCAGCTTTACCACTTGCAGAATGAAATTAATCAACTGTGAAATCTCCCAATGTGTTTTGTAGCTCTTGAAGAAATTGCCAAAAAATTAGCCACCTTTTTATAAATGGAATCTATTCCAATTTGTGTCCTTTAGGAATATATATGTTCACTGCCCTGAGACAGAGTTGACAACAATGAAGCAAGTCTCATCTATTTGAGGACAATAAACGCATTTTAAACCAATACACTAACACCGCATATCATCTGTCATCATGCCATTTTTTTCCATTTTGCCATCAATTTCAATTTCTGCTTGACCATATAAAACAAAAAAGGCAGCAAGAATATTTAAATTCCACATTCACCAGTTTCCGAGAAGATCAGAAGCAAATAAAAAGCATTAACCTATAAAAATGCCATTGCTAGAATTCTTTTTTCCATGAGCAAGCATCACCACATTTTGCAAATGGAATAGCAATTCCAAAATGGAATAGAAACATTTTTAAGTGAGTAGGATTTAAGATATGAAATCATAAATGAAAATAACCTCTGGGAAGGTGAAACTGACCTGAGCAAGACAGAGGATAAGAGGAAAAGATCTAGAAATTCAAGGTATTAAAATTAAGGAACTGTAGCCAGGTGAGTTAGTCATCAATGTAATCTCAGTCTAAGGGAGGCCAAGGAAGAAGGATCCTAATTTCGACTCAGGCATGGCAACATAGTAAGACCTTGTCTCAAAATTCAAAAAAAAGAAAAAAGAAAAAGGTCTGCAGATTAAGCTCAGTATGAACTTTCTGGGTTCAAAACCTGGTACTATAAACAAACAAAGAAGCAGTCAATCTTGGAGAATTAGACTAGACATATCTTAAATTACTTACAATTTTGAAACGCCACAAGGTTTTTGTTTCATTTATTTTTAATGATCACCAATGGATGATACCACTTAAAGAGGTCTCTTAGTAAAAGTCCTGATTACACATCTCATGTGCCACTTGTAATGCAACAGCTGGCTCTGCATAGGACCAGCTAGGTTTCCCATCAGACTCTACCAGATACCTCTTGGCATTTCACCCAGAAGGTCTTGAGACAAGGCTTGACAAACCATGGTAGCAACAGGATCTCACAGATAAATGCTTCCCCTTTATTCTGGATACTTCTACAGAGGTCTGAGACACTGCATAAGGACACTCAGAAATCAGTAGTAGTAGTATAATCAGTAACAGTGGCCAACTTGACAATGCTTGTGAGGGCTGGCCCACATTTTGTATTTCACTCATTTTGTCCCTTCTCCACCTGCTTCCTGAGATCGCATTTTCAAATAAACTCCAGGTTTATCAGTCTTTGATTTTTGAGAAAAAAAAAGCTCTGTTTTTGTCTTTAGAGAAATTCATGCTAATACAGAATTAGAAAAAGAAAATAAAATACAAAAGAGGTAAATGGCTTTATACTTAGCCACAGAAGTCAAAGGATTTGTAGTCACAAGAAACATTTGGTGTCCATACATTCTGTCCGCAATTTAAATGAAAGATACTGCTGCATATCATCTGTATACAAGGCACTAAGTATATGTGCTGACTCCAGAAAAACAGGTACTGTAAACCAGATAGTCCCTCTTCTCAAAAAATGTACAGCCTAGTCATGGAAAAATATTTAAAAAGAAAGTGAAAACAAGGTAAAAGAAAGCTCATGTCCTGCAGCAGCCAGAATGGAGACGACTGCCAGCTCACACATTCCCTGACAACCAGGGGTCTACTACCCACTTTACCCTGTCCTAGAAGCCACAGGGCTCTAATCTTTCTAAAGTCAGAATATTTAGACTATCCACATTGAGAGTAACTTAGTCTCCTTCTATTCAGTCTCATTTTTGCTTAATTTTGCTGATCAGAGCACATGTATTTTGCTTGAAATCAAACTTTAAAATCTGGTCATCAGAATTAGCAACTAATAGAACAAATCTACCAAAACTAATCCAGTTTTAGAAATGAATCCACTGAATGTACAATGATATTGGTCTGGTATAACAGTAGGAAGAGAACAGAGGCAATAAGAAAAGTAAAAGCAATGTCTGAACTGAATATCCAGCTAATAACCCAGTGGAAGATGAAAATATGCATAATCTCTAAGTATACATTAAGGCTACTTTATTCTACTTTACTTTATATGAAACTAACATGCTATACAGGCCTTAAAGGCTATGTTTTCAAGTTAATTTTCCTCATTTTTTGTGCAAGTTTTTTCACTCAGTAACACTGGGATGAAAGTGGGTGGCAAGACATTTTTAACACCAATATAATTTAACAGTTCTACTTATTATTTCCTTCTAAAATTGTTACTATTAAACAAAAGACACAATATAAAGATAACTTTCCCTCACAGAAATCCTTTATTGTTGTAAATGAAGGGAGTATTCTGGGATTCTAGAATCAAAAACATTTGTTTAATTTGGACACAAAAGCCAACTTTACAAGATAGATTCTGACTGGCCAAAAATAGGATAATTTAACCTTCAGTAGAGACAATATCTTCCATAGATGGACAAATTCCCATAAGCTTAAATCTATGAGCGTACACACACAGATACCTTTAAAACTAGTAAATGAAGGGAGAGAAAAAAATATATATTCATCCTGTTTCCTATACAAACACCAATACTGGATAACCAAATGGTAAATGACAGAGAATTTCTTTTTATAGAAATACTCCAGCTAATAAAAGAAGAAAAATGATAGAACTAGAACACCACCACTTCTGCAATTTCTATGAGATAATAAAAATAAACTTTGAGTATCTACAGCTACTAACATTATCAATAGAAAAGCGATGTACATGATGCATCTCTGCATGAAATAAATAGCACTCCTTATATTCACGGAACAAAAAACAAAATAAAACCACCTAAATGTGATCAAGCCTCTAGAACTAAGTACATCTGAAAAAAGAAACATTAAAGTACACTAGAAGAATGCAGTCGTAAAATCCAGAATGTAGAAAATGCTTCAGCTCACATAAGCTATGTTTTTCAGTATCTAAGCTGCAAGGAACAAAAGAGGTAGGAATGGAATGAAAAGGTACTATCCTTAGTTTAAAAGTACCTGAAAACCTGAAAGGCAAACACACACACACACACACCCACACACACACTATAACTATATTACCGTGCTCAGAGATAAATACATAATAATGAAATGTAAGTAAATGGTTACTATAATAAGTCAGGATAGTCAGGAAACACAGGAGATTATACTTAGGAGTGGGCTTGTGAAGAACTTCTAGGGTGGCTATAAAAGTCCTATTTTTTTGATCTGCAAGGTGGCTACAAGGGTATGTACTTCATATGCAAAAGTATCAATGTTTTCAGTTCACCTGAAAGTGGTAATTTAAAATGCAGACTTTTTACCCTCACTAAGACCTGCTAATTCAGTACTCTATTTCCAGGGACAGGTTCTAGCCATTTGCATTTTTGGGTAAATTCTACCTAGTGATTTTTTTTAAACAGAAATAGTATTTAGCTATTAATGAGCCTATAAACAAAAAAAAGCTGCCATTTCAAAATAAAAACAAAATCCCAACTCATAGCTATTTACAGTGATACATTGATCAAAGCAATATACAGACTTGTTTAGTTATACGATTTTAAGTAAATGTTTGCAACAAATATGATTTTTTTTAATTCAACAACATTGCAGAGCTTAATACAGAGTCTTAAGGATAATCTAGCAGCCACTAAGTTTTTCTTAAGTCTTACTTAATCTGTTATTTCTACTTCAGGTAAGCAAGCAGTCTTTCACACATTCAAACACTGGAATTTCTGGTTGGTAACATATCAGCTGGCTTACGTTAAGAAGCCAATCACTGAAAGAATATTATAAGTGAACTGTGAGAAACATATTTCTGTTGTGTAAGCCAACCAGTCTGTGGCACTTTGTTATGGCTTCGTAAGAAACCCTCCTCACTTATCGCCCTATCTGAAGCCCTCTTCCATTTTCCCACCAGAATGACCTTCCCACAAACAATAAGGACTCTCTCTGCTGAACAATCTTCAACAGCATGCCACTGCCTAGAAGACAAAACGTAAACTCATCTGGTGGCATGTGAGACAGACTCAACCTTACCTCTCACACCTAAATTCTTCAAAAATACTCAAAGTAATACTCTCGTTTTCTGAGCAGGTCATGTCTGTATGCAGATGATATTCTCCCAGTCAGCATACTCTTTTCAACCTCTGGCTTGCAGCAGGTAACTCCTATTTGGTCTTCAAATCTCAACTCATGCATTACTTCCGTTTACTGGTGCTTCTATAATACTTTCAATAAGCTCTCATAAAAGTATTTATCTTATGCTATGAGAATTACTTATTTGCATGTCTATAAGTCTCTTCAAGTCACGGAATATATCTTTGCAACCATGTATTTTATAGAGCCTGGCATATAGTAATTGCTCAATAGTTGTGTTCCACAAACAAAAATGCCAAAAAAAAAAGTGATAGATTTGTAACTGATGTTCCAAAGAGTGCTTACCAACTCATTTTTATACTAGTATGACCTAATTAGATCAAATCACATCTGAGAAGCAATAAAGCAAATGAGTACAAGCACCCACTTAACTGAAAGATTCAATTAAATAATAACTGAAACATTGAAATTTCTCACTATCCTTACCTCCTTCAGAAGTTCAACGCTGTGCTCTAAAAGCTGAATTAAAGAGGAGCACTCCCCAGTTATCTTTAAGCTGACTTCACAGACACACAATAACTGAAGTGTCAGCTGGGTAAGCTGAATTTTCCAGAAAACAGGATAATGCAAAAGGCTTGAGTACACTTCCTTGATAAACAGCATTGCTTCCGTTGTCTGTATCATGTCTTTCATCTGTTTAATAAAGCCATTATATAATATTAAAGTAATACACAAATGACAGGATAATTTAAAGCTATATAAGATGTTTTTAACAAAATAATTTTCTTTAATCCCATAAAGAAAGGCTTCAAGAAGATGGAACAAGTTATATAACAATAAGATACACAATTCTGCTTTTTCTCAGTAATGAAAACACAATTTCCTATTATTATTTTACTACTGTCTGGCACAGATTCTTTTTGTTTATTTTTCTAGCTTCCCTAAATGCAGATGTCTTACAACAAATTATATGACAGTGCAAACAGAAGTGAGGGAACATGTTGAAGAAAATTAATTAAGAACTGGTTCATATTTCTAAGTTTTTGTTGAATAGTTGAACAGAACTGGTTGCAATCTCACTGTTTGAATCCCCACTTTATAAGCTCCACTTTAGTATCTTGAATAACTATTTGTAAGAAGACAATCTGTAATCATCAACTAGTGATTTCTTACTGTTTCTTTTTTTCTTTAAAATTATATACTATTTCTACCCATTTTCTGTTTTGTTTAGTCTTTCTTTAAATTAAATTTTTTTTAAAAAAGACACTATAGTACCCAGTGCTGATCATGGAGGGTCATGATGTGAAACCCAGCAATACTATTATTCTTTATTCAGAATGATTTTAACCTGCTTTAGTTTGTTTAATCTAAACATAAATGAAGATATGGATAACTGCATGTATGTTTAAGTGTATAGGATTGACAACCATGTTACTAAGTTTTTGTTGGACAGTTGACAGAACTGTTTGCAGTCTCGCCGTTTGAATTCCCACTTTATATGTTCCATTTTTGTATCTTGAATAACTATTTGTAAAACGACAATATGTAAACATCAACTAGTGATTTCTTACTCTTTATTTTTTTCTCTGAACATATGTATTATTTCTACCTATTTTCTGTTTTGTTTAGTCTTTCTTTAAATAAAATTAAAAAAAAAAAAAAAAGAACTGGCTGTAAATTCTCCTTCTTACAGTTCCAACCTGGAAGAGATACCTGGAAGTAAGGTAAGATTTTATTCTAATACACAGAGAAACCCTCGTCTGCTACAAATCTGGTCAAGCAGCCTGAGCTGAAAGCATCAAACAGCAGCATTCTTAGAAGATGTAATAAAAGACTATATTCAGATGACAGAGTATCTTCTCAACAGGCTAATGTATTATCTACAAAAGACTTGGGAGCTCTTAAAAATCCCAATTTGATTCAAACCCAGCTGTTCTGATCAAAATTCCAGAGTTGGTATTAAGGGTATGGTCCTCTCACAGACACACTTGCATTTCCTAGAGATTACAAACAATAAACCATCTGCTTCAATCAAGATCCTTGTGTCTGTTAAATTCATCAAGAGGAAAGCCTACAGTTGACCAGCTGTATCCTTTACCAGTGGTTACCACCAAAATAACACAAAATTGCTCTAAGTTATACATAGAGAAAAAAATCAGTTTCTAGTAAATGAGGAGTGGGTATTAAAAGATCAAAGACAAAAGAGTGGCAAAAAAAGATTATTTTAAAATGTGAGCAGTTTCGTAGCTAAATTATTTTGCTTTTTACAAACAGTAGAAAACCCTAAACATCTTTAAGAAAGAGCCTCAGAAAGTTAATAGTAAACGCTCTCTACTATTTAACATTATCAGATGTTTCTTTAAAGTGTTTTGAAGTAATTGTCCTATCTTTATGTAGAAATAGATCATGTGGAATTTATAACATGAAACAAGTCACAACTATAATTAAGAAAACAATTCCACGAATATAAAATGGAAAAATAATTGGTATTGGAAGAAAAATAAATAGGAGTTCCACTGACCATGCAGTGACTATAAACCAATAGGACGGTATGACTATTTCTCTAAAAACATTTTTTAACTAAAATGTGATTCTATCCAAGTATTTAATATAGGTCAGATCATCTCAACAGCAATCAGCTCTGTCTATTCAGCTCAAAGAATAACATTTTGAGAAAAAATAAAGTAGATAATTTCTAGCAAAGGACACTGACAAGTCTAAAAATTATTTCCTATGGAGAAGGAAAAAAACTGGTGAAAGAAAAATGGAGAAAGATAGGGGAATGAAAGGGAGAAAAACAAAACAAGGTAGGATTCAGACAGGCTTTTTTAAACCTTATTTTGTTTTGTTATGGGAGGAATAGAGACTAATGGGTAATTTTTAAATGAAGGTCAATAGAAGTACTTGGTAAAAACTAGCTGCCTTGCAAAATGAATGTACTTATTACCAAAACATCCAATTAGTGATAGAATGTCATCTATCACAGAGTACATAAAAAATATTTGTAATAAGTGGGGAATGGAATTGAGTTGCCTCTAAGATCCCTTTCGACTCTCAATTTCTTTATTTTACTAAAAGCTGATCTGTTACAGTGACTAAATGCATTTATGTCCACTAGTTCCAAATGGTTTTTTTCTTGTATGTCTCAGTTATATTAACACAAAAATTCCCAGAAATTTTCCAGAGCTCATTTCTACTAGTATTTTAGTTTTTCATGCAGAAGAAGGCAAATATTTACCAATGAACACAGAACAAGGTAGTATAGGCATGGTATAAATAAACATTCAAGACTTTCTGCCTATACATTGTTTTATTGCTCACACAAAACAAAAGCTTTCGAAAAGCCACAGGAGAATTCGTTTTAATTAACTTCTCTTTGCCTTGATTACAGGAAAGCCTATTTACGAGTCACAAAGGAAAGATTCACGCTAGTCACTCCTTGCTAGCACAAACTTAAAACAGGTCATCTGTGACTTAAGTGATCACTCTGAAATATATTCATAGATTCCCTCCATCAGCAGAGCAGCGTGATGCCCAGATTCCAGGCAAACAGCTAACCCAATTATGGAATGGAATACCTGATAAATGTGTCTCTACACTAAAATCACAACACTGTGGCAACTCAGATTTTTTTTAATCTGTATTTGTAGACATTAGCTCAAATTTCTCTCTCCCCTGAACTCCGTCTGCATTTTATCTACACCCCTGTTAACAATCTTTCATCCATGTACTTTGTTACAACTTCATATACTTTTTTCAATTTGTCCATTATACTGTGGGCTTCTCAAGAGTGGGATCCATCGGGATCATCACTCATGTCATAAAGAAAAAGGTAGAAACTCTAATCTAGCTCTCATCTTGCTAAGTTTAGCATCCTCAGAGCTATCTCTGCCCAGAGAATAATTTCTTAAAATTTAAAATATTTTTTTTCTATTTTTGTCTTTTTGAGACAGGGTCTCACTATGCAGTTCAAACTGGCCTATGGCTCACTTTGTAGCCCAGGCTGGCCTCAAACTTGTAACAATCTGCCAGCCTCAGTCTCCTGAGTGTTAGGATTATAGACATGTGCCACCACACACAGCTTCATAAAAGTATTTTAAATTTACATACTTCCCAATATTTAGCCCAAGGAAAAACATAATTCAAAACCTCCCCTTAATAATTTTTTCTTAAATAAAAGGGAGTTTTCATTCCTTCTAATCTCAATATGGATTGAGCTGATTTATATTTCTGTGAAGTTAGTTCACATAGTTTATATTAATATTAAGCCTAGATTTAGTTCCTTTATCTTCTCCAAAAGATCACAAGTATTTCTAGCACCAGAATTGTCTGAGTTTGCCAAATCACCTAGAATTTAGAACTACTTTATGTTTGATAATAATAATCAACACTTACTGGTGCTGACACACTAGGGAAGGAAGATAAAGGTCTTACCTGCAAGCATGGAATCATGTCGCAACACAGCTGAAGTATCTGTTGTTCCAAAATTGACGGCTGTGCTTCGTCATGGAGAACCGGGGGTTGAAGTAGGACTTTCAGCAGGGTAACTCGAAGGTGAGCATATTCTTGTAATTGAAAGGGCTCGCAATAAAGATACCACAGAAATGGTGCCATTATTTGGATACATGAAACTTCTGACCTGCAAGTTATGTGATGGTTTAGCCAGTTACCAAGTCAAATACCTTATCAAACAGATAAATGACAAAACCAACTTCTGGTTCATTACATACCATAAATTACTATACAACCAGGTGTGACAGCTTTTAATTCTACTATTCCACCATTCCCTAACTAGATTTATACCAAACATTCCCCAGTGCACTGGGGGAAACGAATCCATAGTGATAAACCACAAGCCAAATGCCCAGAACCAGGAAAGTCTCTTTTTTGCACAGCAGCTACACTACTTCGGTTACTGGTGAACATCAGAACTAAGAACATTTTTAGAATTATAGATGTCAGGATCTACTCTCCAGGAGTAAGACACTGGCATGAATTTTTGGAAAAAATTTAAGGTAAGAATATATGTATAACCAACTCCTAAAATCATCCTAACATAATTATGATGACAGTTAACATGTACTGTACTCCCCATTATTCATGATTTCACTTTCCACGGTACGTACCCTCATTACCCAATATTGCTTACTCAATATTAAGTGGAAAATTCCATAAGTTACAAATTACACACCTCAGTAGGGTGATGAAATTCACACTGTTCTAGTCTGTTCCTCTCAAGACATGTATCATCCCTTTGTCTAGCATATCTGTGATGTACATATTAATCATTCAGCAGTCATTTCAGTTATCACATAAACTGTCATAGAACTGCAATGCTTGTATCCAGATAATCCTTATTTTACTTAATAATGACACCAAAATACAAGAATAATGATGCTGGCAATTAATACGTGCCCCAGAAAACCTGTAAATGCTTCCCTTAAGTGGACAGATGATAGTTCTCATTAAAACAAAAACACTATATGGTAGATTGTTAAGATCTGTGATAAGTTACATTTAATTTTTCCTTTATATTAAAGGACAGTTAAAGGGCATTCTGTTGCCCAGGTGACCCTGAACTCCTAGGCTCACATGATGCTTCTACCTGAGCTTTCTAGGTGGCTGAGACTACAGATATGTGCCACTGTGTCGATTTAAATTGCTGCTAATCACTTACTGTGCATTGCTCTAGAAATTAAGCTTTAGCGTAGGTGTTTACATTGCTATGGAGTGCTCCCCACAAGCACTTGTGTGCTGAGAGCTTAGCTCTGTGATGTAGAGCTTTCAAAAGGTGGAGTCCAGTGGGAGGCCCTCAGTTCACTGTCAGTGCTGCCCACAGAAGAGACTGAGGAATTTCTCATGAGAACCTTGAGTTCGTTCTATCCAAAGCAAATACTTTTTGAGCCTAACCCCTGAAACTCTCTCTCTGACTCACTGCTTAACAACATGACATTTCCCTTCTCATCTACTTCACCACCATGACACCATCCACCAAGAAGCCTCTCCAGAGCCAAGCAGAACTGGTGCCATGCCCTTGAACCTTCCGAACTAAATAAGCCCCCTTTTCTTTTTAAAGTTACCCAGCCTAGTGTAACTGGTACAGTAAATAAAAAGTGACTAATATATATGTATAGGAAAAATATATAAACTAATACATACACATACAGACATCAGTATTACCTGTGCTTTTAAGCATTCACTTGGTGTCTTCAAA